CCTCTGAGACTGCATGATTCCCCTTCATGCTCCCACTCTCCCTCCAGAATAGCAATTTGAGGCCAGGAAGGAACCCAGCAAGGATGCTCTTTTCCTTGCAAAGGGCAGCACTCCTTGGAAACAGAGAGGCCACCTGCCCTCACCCTGGTTTGGCAAAACTCACCTTGAAAGGGGCAGAGTTGAGGTGCAGTTTTCACACCTATTAGCTTCTGAGGCCAGGGCCCCAGCTCCCAGCATCTCCAGCCAAGCTGCAGATTAGCCGGGAAGGCACGTGATTGGTCCTTCCCGACTCAACAGCTGCTGCAGGTGAATCACATTAGCCAAGGATTAGCTTAATTGATTACAGCCATTTCTGAGCAGGGATCACTCAAGGCAATTCTTCACATCTGACCTAATTTAGCTGTGACAAGTCTCACTGTAGATTTGCAGGGAAGGAAGAGAGATGCCAACATCTTTCTCACTTCCCAGTATGTGTTCCTTTTCTCCATGTAACTCTGGACATTAAAGCCGGAGTTGGTTTGACCTAAATTTATATATACAGATGTACAAATATGTATATATACACCTAGAGTTTACTCAGCTTCAGCATGGTTCAGTTGACAAATTATATGCCCCTTAATTGAGGTATACATGCATGTTAATTAGAAACCTAGCTCAGATGTAAATGAATGGGTCAAATCACACAGCCCCGCTGGACTGGAAACTGCTGATGCTTCTAGGTCTTCCTGCCCTTTCTATGCTAATGTTTTCCTTTGATGTGTGCTCCCGGCATGCAGCAAGAACTAGTTCGCTTTTAAAAGCAATATGTTATATAGATGAGATGGCAAGCTAATGAAGTTATGAACCTATATTATAAATAAAATAATAGCAGGTTGATCCTGTTGAGGAGAAATGAGCCTATCGCAGGTGGACATGTCCTCGCTTCAGACGTGTCATCAAGAATTATCTCGGCAAGAGATTTTGACCTGCCCGACCCCAGAGAGCTTGTGTCTCTCCTCGTGAGGCCCGCACTCCCTTCTCTGGGGTGGCCTCACATTCCTCTAAGGGTGTCTTCAGCCTGTGGGCTAGATCCTCTCTGCAAGCACTCTGTCCCACTTCCCAAATCTGGGGCACTATGGCTCTGAGGGAGGAAAAGCAGCCCCTGCCTTTGACCACACTTTAATTGCCTTAAACACTTTCGGCAGAAATTGCTGTGAGGGCATCTACATAGCTGTTAAAGCAGTTTGTCTGGACTGACTCTAGCCTTGAAGTGTGATTTTTCTTTTTAAGTGACCGTGAAGATATTTGTCTGTTAATGGCTATCTGTTTAAGGCAGGCTAGTGAGCTAGTTCTTCAACAGTTTTCATTTTCTTGCTTGCAGGGCTAACTTAAAAGAGTTTTTTCAATGCTGCAGTGACTGAAGAAGCAGTCCACTCCCATGTAACCATGACAGAGGGCCAGAGAGCTTTTTTGCACCCTGCATTTTTACTATTATTTCCCGTTACTTAGCACCATACCCCTAAGGAACCTTGAATACAACCAGGATCTCTTTTGCATGCGACTGTAGATGCATTTCATGAACAGTTTGAACCCTTGTCAATGCATTTTTTGAAAAACAAAAAACAAAAAAAAAGAAACTTTGTGTATGTGACTTAAAGCATGTAACCTTCAGATGTTGCATTCTAAACTGACAATAAAGACCTTTCCCAAATATGTTGGTGTTCTGAAGACTGTTTAATATGCTCTTCTAACTCCTGTGGACCAGAATAAATCAATCTATAAATAAAGCGGGAGTGTGGACATTTTCCCTCACCTAGGGAGAAGCCAGGCCAAGGCAGGGTGTTACAAGTTTTTGCACGCATCGCACTGAACCCAGCTTATTTTAACCTTGCAGGCGATAAAAGCGAAAATGGATGAACTTAGGCCTTTGATACCTGTGTTGGAAGAGTACAAGGCCGATGCCAAATTGGTATTGCAGTTTAAAGAGGAGGTCCAGAATCTGACGTCAGTGCTTAACGAGCTGCAAGAAGAAATTGGCGCCTATGACTACGATGAACTTCAGAGCAGAGTGTCCAATCTTGAAGAAAGGCTCCGTGCATGCATGCAAAAACTAGGTAGGCCCAGAACCCTGCGGGGCGGGGCACTGCACCGCCCACCTCCCCACTCAGCTCACTCAGGCTTAGGGAGTGGTGCTGAAGTGGACAGCGCCCGCCTGGCGTCAGGGAGCAATGGCTGGATTAGGGCTCCTGGGTAGGGCTGCCTTGACAGAGAGCCGAGGGAAGTAGGCACCACCTGTCCTAGGGCCTTGTCCAATCCTGTGCAGAGGCCAGCTCACAGAGCCCATTGAGCTGCACATCTGGAAAAATGACGTTAGATGTTACCTACCATCTGAAGAACGCGCGTGTGTGTGTGCGCGCGCGCGCGTGTGTATGTGTGTGTTGGGTGACTTCTTAAGACACAGGTTTTCATAGAGCGGGAAACGTACATCTTAAGATTCCCTCCAGCTTGCGAACGAGGGCTGACGGAGCTCCCTGAGATACTGAGTCATGCAGAAAAATCCATCACGTCACAGTGGAAGACTTGCCATTCGCAACAAGCCAGGGAGTCCCTCCTGGTGCCTGGAAGGGGTGGGACTGGAGCCAGCGGCCCCTGGGCTCCTTCGGAATCTTATTTGTGGTTGATACCCACTCGCCTTATCAACTTCCGTGTTAATTGCTTTAGCAAATCTTAACGTGTCAGCGTCGGAGTCCACTTTTAAGTAGCACATTTTAAATCCCAATTCCATTTCCAGGTTTTCTTAGGAAAGATTGGCTGGCCCTTGCACCCACTGTTCTCTAACACAGAGGTTGTTCCTTTTCATAGGGTTTACTTTTTAGAGTAACTTAGGGTAGCTTTTAGGGTAATTCTGCTTTATGAAAAAGTTTCCTTTAGGTTTTATCTGATGTTTTCACTTGATTCCCTTTTCATCCCCCGCCCCCCACACACTACAAATGCCTTATTTTAAACTTAAAACATCCCCAAAGAACAAATACTTTAAAAAAAAATCCCCATTGCTATTAAGTGGGAGAGAGAGAACGTTCAAAGGGCAAGAAGGTCGAGTCAGCCAGCCTTTTTGTTTGAACAGGTTCCCACGTCTAGTTTATTTTTATGCCGTTCTAGGTGCCCTAGTAACGCTCCCCAGTCCGGGAGAGGGCGGTGAGCGCTGTTCAGAGCATTAGGACGAATCCGTTGTGATCTGTACACTTGCATCACGTGAGGGATTATCTGCTGCGTTTCTTCAGATGTGCTTCACGGCACCCACGTCCTGGTGTGTCCGGGACTGGGTGACCTGGGACAGTCCCAGGGAGGGGGTCTGGGCTGGACGGTCTCTACCAGCTCTTCCCATTTCAGCATTCAGGAGTCAGCGGGAATGTTTGAAATGCTACTGGTTATCAGGCTTATCCGTGGTTATGGGACTGCGTGAATACTTCTGGTGGGCACTGTCTTTGGGTTTCTACCCATAAAGCTCGCTCTACCCTAAGCTCCCGTCACCTCTCTCCAGACCCTCCAACGCTTCCCCTGGGGGCTTTCGGCCCCTGGGGGTTTCTTTGTTACTTATTTCTCCACAGTAGCATTTTTATTCCCCGGTAGACAGACCGTGTAGAAACCAGTGGGAAACCAAGATTAAACCTTCACATTTTCCGATTAACGGATGAAGGAGCCAAGTGGAAATTCAGAGGGGGCAAAGTAACAACTGATGAGAAGCTAAGGGTCTTTCTGGGAGGATGCTGCCCTTCCCGGACGAGCAGCCTTCGTGCCCGAACTCGGCCTATTTTTAGAAGCTGGGTGAATTCACTTTAGGGTTTGGGATCTTGGGGCTTTCACATGGGTCCCCTTGGGCCGCTGAAATAAGGAGAGAGGATGAAGAGGCCCCCGGAGCCCTGTTCTCCACCACTGAGTGCAGTCACTTCTGCACTCACAAAGACCTTGACCTGTAGATGGACCTGCTGAGTCTTCGGGCAGGTGGGTGGGGGTCCGTCTTTCACCAGCACTCGGGTGGGCGATGTGGGTGAACACCGAACTGAGAACCCCCATCTGGGGGAGGCAGTGTGCTAAAGTGGTAGGTGCCACTCAATGGCCCTGTGGTTCACCAAGGCACTGACCACTTTGCATTTCAGCCGCCTCTTCGTCTGTAAGTTGAAGGCGTAGGAGTCCCTGTGCCCTGGGGTCACTGTGTGAGTCCACAGACACCATTCACGTCACGGGCTGCGCACTGTGCCCAGCATAGAGTAGGTGGTGATAGGACACGTAGGCAGGTGGGTACATAGTACCCGATAGCTAGACATGATTGCTAGGTAAAGAGACAGCTAGACCGATAGGTAGGTAGGTAGGTCAGTAGGTAGTTAGACAGTCAGATGATAAGTAGGTTAGTAGGTAGGTAAACAGATAATACATAGGTAGGTAGGTAGGTAGATAGATAGACAACAGATAATAGGTAAATAGGTAGGTAAGTCAGTAGGTCGGTAGTTGGATAGACAACAGATAGTAGGTAGATAGGTAAGTAGGTAAGTCAGTAGGTAGGTAGGTAGATAGACAACAGATAATAAGTAGGTAGGTAGATAGGTAGACAGACAACAGGTAATACGTAGATACAGCTGCTGTCGCTTCTCCTGCTTCCTAGATTTCATTCAAGCTCGGTAACTTAAAGACCCAACCAATACCTGCGGCTGCTTATTTTAGTCTTTATTTTAGCCTTGCAAACAGGTACCATCTCAGCAGCCTGTTTCTTTGCTGGGAGGCTGCCGGTGAGCATAGAACAGGAGAAGCCAGCACTGATGCTGTCCTGGGCGGTTAGGACTCCTGAAGATGCAGTGTCTCAGAGGCCGGCAGTTCCTTCCTCGGCCTCCCCCGCCCACCCCTGGCCCCCCGCCACTTCCGCCTCTTGTCTCCTGGGTCTGAAGTCTGACTGTAGGTTCCTTTTGCTCCGGTGAACAGCATCTCGGTTACCTTCCTGGTGTCATGATGGGGAAGAGGGTCTCCCTGCAGTTTCCCCAGAGTGCTCTTAATTAGGTCTCTATTCTCTTCAAAGTGATGTTGCTGACAATTCCATACACAGGGGAAAAAAAAACAAGGACTGCAGGTTCCATTGGTTTTCTGTTTCCATTTTAAATCCATTTAAATGGCATTGTGTGTTTTTCCTAATGTGTTCCTCACGTTCCCAGCCGGAACGGGAATCTGAAAGTCTGATTTCTGGAACTGGACATGGGGCTCAGCACCTCTCGGGCATCAGCCGGAAGGGAGGCGGGTGTCCACGGCTCCCCTGCAGTTCCTCTGGTTCCCGGGGCGAGGAAACCAGTTCCTCTGGTTCCCGGCGACCCCGTCCCCCGACCTTTTACTGCCACTCCGTGGACAGCCTGCAGAATCAGACGCCCCAGCAGCTAGACCAGCCAAAAGCAGAGACTTAAGAGCCGATGCGGAACGTCGTTGGTACTCATGCACGTGTCCCGGGCATGGCACATGCCCGTTAGCGTCAGGCCTCAGTCCTGTCTGTAAAATGAGGGGAACTGGCTGACTTCAGGGCTTCCCCCAGCTGGACCGTCCTGGTTCTCCGGTGCTAAAGGCCCCTGTAGGGAAGGTCGAGGAGACAGAGAGAGGGGCCCTTACCTCCTCCCCAGAGGCCGGGATGGAGCCGGGTGAGTGAGCTGCTCCCAAGGACGGTGGGTAAGTTAGCCCACGCGGATTTACACTCAGGATTGAGAGGGAAGTTTAGGGTGTCTCAGTCTGCAGGGGACCGACTAGGACAGCGAGGAGGGAGGGGACCCGAGTCCAGGTGCCGCCCACGGCAGTGACCTCAGTGGTCCCAGCAGGCAGGCAGGTGTCCCCCCAGGTTCCTTCCGGGAAGTGCTCGGGATCGCAAGAGGTCTCTCAGCGTCCCCGTCCCTGCCCAGGTGCGGAGGGGAGATGGGCGTCCAGGGTGGCCCTCGGGGCTGTGGGCCTGGGCTTGCAGGGAGGCTGCTCCGTCCCCGGTTAGCTCTTCTGCAAGGACTTGTGTCTGTCTGAGCTCCCAGCTCTGCCAGCTCTTCCAGCCTAACTCTCCAGTCTTTAGGGATACAAGCTGGGACGGGCGGTCCCGGGACCCGTCTGCCTGCTGTGGAGCAGTCAGCCCCCTCAATCTGGTCTCTGGCCCGGTTCCTTGGCGGGCACGTCGCCCTGGGGCCCGCTCAGGCTCCTGTCAGAGGTCATTCGGGCTGTTGTTCAGAAGTGGCCTCCTTCTAGGAATAGCGGGAACCAGAGGATTTCACCTGCGGAGGCTGCTCTGTCCAGGCTCCCAGCTTTGCAAGGCGGCCCCCCTCCTGAGACCCGGCCTGGGCTCTCAGGGCCCTCCCAGCTGAGGCTGCTGTGCCTGGAGCCCAGCCTCCTCTGAGATGGACCTGCTCGGCTTCCCTTCCCTCCCCGTCCACGAAGCCCAAGCGCTCGTGACAAGAGAGGGCCACTTTCGTGAACGGAACGTGCCAAGACTCTGCCTCGCGGCTCTGCCGTGGGGCTTTTTTAGATCCTGACAGTTCCCGAGGTCTTGGCACAGCCAGTCTGGATGGAGAACCAAAAATAGCTCCGTGACTGAAGCAGGGCGGGCAGCCTCCGTCCCCAGTGGAGAGCCGAGCCCACAGCCAGCAGCTGGCCGAGCAGGCCTCACGGGCCAGCTGGGCCCTTCTCTGCTGCCTCATCCGTGATTCTAAGGCTCCCTCCGAGAGGCTGGGGGAGGCTGGGCTCAGCCCCTCGGGCCAGGGTGCACTGGGGGAGACCTCAGCCCAGGGCAGGGCGGGGCTGGAGCTGGTGCAGACGCCCTCCTCCCGCCCCCCGGCCCCCCTGCAGACGGTCGCCCCTTCTCTGCAGCCACGTGTGGGCCGAACGCAGTGGGACCATCCGGGGCAGCCCCGAGCCTGGACTCGGCCACAGTCTCAGTGTGAATCCATGGCCGCTGGCCTCACTGGGCACTTATGCGTGACGGGCATCCTTCTAGAAGCTCCCCACTGGGTAACTGCTTTAATTCCCACCACCGCCTGTGGGGTGGGTATCCTTTTGGCAGATAAGGAAGCCGCCCTCAGAAGAGGCGGCCCACCTTCCCCCCCCCGCCCCGTCCCCTCTGGCGGGTTACGTGGCAAAGCAGTGGGCTGACGAGGATTTTCTGGGACATGGATAGTCATACCTCTCAGTTCCTGAGAGGTGAGTCATTTGTTCAGTCATTTGTTCGTTCATTCATTCGTTTTGGACAGCTCCCCCAGGCTGAGCCTTGCGGGGGGGAGGGGCGTCCTGCCTGGGGTCGTGAGACCTGGACGCCCGGGGCCACGCCCAGGGGGTGTGCAGGCCCAGCCTGGGTCGAGGAGGCAGGGTGGGTGCCGTCCAGAAGGGAGCGGGCTCTGCAGAGGCGTCGGTGTGGGTCCAGCCACAGAAGACAGGAGGGCAGGAGCGGGGTGGGGGTCTGGCTGTCCCGATGCGGGTGGGCCTGAGCAAAGGTAGGGAGGCGAGTAGAGCTGGGCAGGCGGCCGAGCCGGGCCTCACCCGCCAGCGTCACCTTCTGAACGTGGTGTAAAGGATGGATGTCTGTCTCCTTCGGGGGAGGTCGTCCCAGGCCGGGTGTGGCCGCTGAAGGCCAGGCAGGGCGTTGGCGTGAGCGGACGTCTCACTGGGAAGCGTGCCCGCGATGGGGCACCAGCAGGCATCCCACCCGGGGCCCCCGATCCGTGACACCCTTGGGGCCACGGTGCCTTGGGACTTCTCCTTCCGGGCGGCAGACAGGACCACTGTCCCTGACTCAGCGGTGGGGAGGCCCTGCACGGGACATTCACACGGGGCACTTTGCTGGCCTCTGGGCAGCAGGGAGATGGGCTGTCTCTGGTGTTCGATGGCCCCTGTTAGCATTTCCCACCCAGTTCGGAGGGTCTGCTGTCTCCCGGGGGCAGCCCAGAACCCCCCAGGGTCACAGAAACAAAGAGGGTGCTGGGGGGAGACCAGCCTAGTGTCCTGCTTCTCCCCTGCCCTCCCTCCTCCAGACGGAACCCTCAGGGAACCCCACCCCAAATTCTCAAAACCCTCGTGGGATGAGAACCTGGTCTGGGGCTCTCGTGGGCATGCACGCTCTCGCGAGATTTCCAAGGACCCACTTTTTTCTTACTTCTGGTTGCTGTAGATGTTGGCTGACCTGCACGTAATGTCCAGTCCCTTTGTCCTCTGTCTGTCCTCCCTCAGATGGGGGGTGTGGACAGGGCCGGCCTTGAGGGGACAGTATTTCAGTGGGAAAAAGTATGCAATTCCTCCTGAAAGGGGAACAGGCAAATATACACTGGGAAGGGATGGGCGAGTAAAAATAGTTGAGTTCCTTTTTCGAATCTGGGCCAGAGGCAGCAGCCTGGGGAGCGGCACCGCTGGGGCTTAGGAGCGGGGCAGCGTGACTTGATGGGAATTTGGCTGTAAAGCCGCCTTTCTTCTGCTTTGCAGTCAGCTCTTAATCCCGGTCCAAAGCCTCCGCGTTGCCCAGATACAAGCCTCTCCTGACAACACAAAGAGACAGAGGCCCCAGGCACTGGGCTGGGGGTCCAGGACGTCCACTTCTGCAGTCTTGTTCAATGATGCTGATGGATCTGCTTGCCCCACTTTAAGTTTGGGGAGAGAGTGGGAGGCACCCCAGACAGTGCAGAGGTGGCCATGGGCCCCTCCCCGAGGCCGGGCCACCTCACTTGGCGGGATGACCCCCGGCTAAACCACGGTCCCTGGGTCAAGTCACTGGCAATCTTCTGAAAACGCGCAGGTCTCCTCTAAACTTTGCAGACTGACCCCTACGTCTGCTAATACAGTGGCAGTTTAGCAGAGCAGGCAGAGCTGGGGAGTTACACGCAGGCCTGGCCTGGAAGAAAGGGAGGGAGTCCCAGTCGGCACATGTCCCCGCAGGGCAGGGCCCACTGCCTACGTCGAGGGGCCAGTCGGCTTCTGAGGGTCAGGAAACTTTTGGCCTTCTGAGGCTGGCTGAGTTGACTTATTCCGGAAGGCTTCAGGGCTACGCACACAGGGTGGCATCCAGGTGGCAGGAGGGGGATTTCTGCTGGGCACGGTGGCTGCCCGGGGCTATCAGGGGCAGTGGGAAGGGCGCTGGGCTGTCGGGAATGCCCGAGTGTCGGTGTGGCCCCGAGTGCATCCCAGCCCGTCTCCCGCCTCCATCTGTGCGATGGGAGGGCTCCGTCACCCCCGTGCTCTCTGCTCCGTCAGTGACTTCAAATCCCAGCCCTCCGGCCCCTGGGCACCTCCTCCAGGCAGTAGGGAGCCTGCTGTCACCCTGCAGGGAAGCTCACAGGCCCTCCAGGGGGAAGGAGCGTCCTTCCTCCTGTGCTGGACCGCGGATGCACTTTCTCCTTAGGAGGTCCAGCGGCTGCCGCCCCTGCTTCCCAGAGGAGAAAACTGCGTCTGGGCGAGGCTGGCTGCCCCATCGGGAGGTGCGGCCCTGGCACCCCTGGCCCGAGGCCCAGGGGACTGCACCTCCCTCTCCCCACCCGCCCTGGCCTCCGTTGCTCTCTGCTTGGGGGAGGGGGGTGGTGGCCTCTCTCGCCTTTGGGGCTGGGCCCAGGCACTCACTCCCCTGCGCCGTGTCCTCTCTTACAGCGTGTGGCAAGCTGACGGGCATAAGTGACCCCGTGACCATCAAGACCTCCGGCTCGAGGTTTGGGTCCTGGATGACGGACCCTCTGGCCCCAGAAGGTGATAACAGGGTAAGTGCTTCCTTCATTGGATCTGGGTCTGGGGCAGGGGGGGTGTGGACGAGCAAAACTTGGTGCCCCCGGGGTGGGGTTCCAGGGACTTTGGGGAGAGGTCCAGGTCCCTTGCCGAGGTCCCTGTACTAAGGCAGAGTCGCAGACCACGAGGGAGGCGGGTCCGAGGACGCCTGCGACCCCCTCCCCGCGCGCGGCTCTGCCCCTGGGAGCGGAGGGGCTGCCTCGGGCTGAAACCTTCCCATGCTCACAGCACTGCCCCCGCTCCGCTGGGGAACAGCACGGTCAGGCCTTCTTGTTTTAATGACTTCTCATTTGCGTTTCATTTGCCATTCCTTTCATGGCTGATGGAAACTCATGTTCTTTTTTGATTTAGGAGAAAAGCCATGTTCTTTTTTTTCTAGACTCTCCCTCCCTGGGTAAAGACCTCATAAAAGGAGAGAGAGACGACCGAGCGGCGCGTCTGTCTTGATCGGGATGGGGTGGGGGCTGCGTTGCGTTGTCGTTGGAGTCCCTTCGGGGCGTGGGGAGCAGAGGGCTGGCTGGCTGGGAGGGTGGCACCTGGCCCACTGGGCCCGGGTAACATCCGTCCATCACCACAGCGTCCTTTGGGAGCGTTTCAGCGAAGGGAGGTTCCGAACGCCCAGGGTTCTGGCTCTCGGTTGGAGGAAAGGAGCTGTGGGCATCCCTGTCCCTTGGTGGTCCACCAGCCTGACCGCTGGCACCCGGAGAGAACCGTCACAACAGTCCAGGGCCTCTCTTACCCAGCCCCTTGCCTGCAGGACGTTTAGAAAATAAACACTTAAAAAAAAACTTCAACTCTTCCTCTGGGCGGATTGAGAAAGGAGCTTAGGAATTGGAGAACCTCTGAGCCTTGTCTGGAGGATTTTCAGTGAGAGGGATCTTGAGACTTCTGATGTCTGCTCCTCCCCCAGCCCCATTCCCACCCTTTAGACAGTGTGATCGCTTCTGTTTAGATCAGGAAGCGGCACATTCTCCTTCTGGGGAAGACGCCTGGGGGACCACGATGGGCTTTCCAGCGATCTGGGCGTCTGTCTTTTTATCCCACAACCTCCAGTGGGAGGAACCCCCGTCTCTCCCCTTCCTTACCCACACCCCGGCAGGCCAGCAGCCTCTTCCCAGACCTCATCCCCGGGTCTGCAGGCAGAGAGTTCTGGAAGGAGGGGGCCGGCTACAGGCTGCCAACCCGGGAAATGACCAGGTCCGGTATTTTGGGGGTGAAGTTTCTTTGTGTTTTATTTTCTGAATGGTGACGGCTAGCTGGTCCTTGGAAGTTTTCTAAGAATTTAATTGGCCAATTAATTACCAGTTAATTACCAATGAACCATTTGATTGGCCAGTTGTTACCCTGACTACTCTTCAGTTTCATCTGCATCCCCCTGGAAAACACCACTTTGGTTCTCAGTTTGATTAGGAGTGTGCTCTTGCTGCAGATGTCAGTGATAATACCAGTAACGCAGACGTGAAAGAGCGCGTGATGTTTATATTGAAATACAAGCGGAAGTATTGGTTTCTAGGACGCAGCGACACGTGTGCCCAGCCCTCCGCTGAGCGCACCTGTTCCTGTCCTGGTTTGGTCCCGCGGCTGCCCTCCAGCCGGAGATCATAGGTGTCTCTGCTGTGTTGATGAGAAAACGCAGGGCCAGGAGGGTCACGTGACTTGCCCAAGGTCTCAGGAAAGGCTGGCCGGTGGGTTTATTAACCATTTATTTACTGCGATGTTCCAGGTTGAGTCTCCCAAGTCACCCTCCTCTCCGTTGCCTTCTCCCCACCTCCTGCCTGCCCCCTGCCTGCCCCACCACACACACCCCACTGACCCAGCAGGGCTCTTGGGATCCGTGAGCTGGAACCAATGACCTTGGTGCTGCAGAGGACGAACCCCGGTCTAGAGGATTTCTCAGAGATCACGTATCAGGGCTCCTGGAACCCCCGTACCGTGAGGATGTAGGTTCATCTGCAAAGCCGTCGAGGCGGTGATGGGTGCTTTGGGGAATTAGACATCTCTTTTCTGCTTGATGAGTTGATCACCGTCCAGGAAAGGGGGCCCTGGTGATGGACAGAGCGCAAGCAGGAAGGCGGAAGGGGGGCCTTTGTGGGAGCTGACTGCGTGGGGAGGGAGGGAGGGGACCAGCTCGCTGGCAGGGGACCCTGGGGGCCTGCTCCAAAGCTGTGGGCAGTCGGCAGTCCCGCCCCATGCCGTGAGATCAGCACAGCCACCAGCTCACAGCCTGCTAAGTGACACGTCCCCAGGTCCTGCCATTGATCTAGAAGGGAGCTGGTTTCTTTTGTTTTGATCTTTTCCATTCTCCGTCCAGTTTTGATCACACACAGGAGACCAATAACTCGCTCCCCCCCCAAAAAAAAATCAGTGTCAGCTTCAGTGCAGGAGGCCACAGAGGGCGAGGAAAGAGGGGTGTGGCCAACAGCCAGGGCGGGGAATTGCCTTGGGACCCCTGTCCGGGAGCCCTCCAAGGGGCTTTCGGGCCCCCCTGCCTTTGTGCTGAGCTGTTAGAACCAGGTTAGCTCGTTCGTTAGGCACCGCCTGTGTGTAGGCACTGGCTGGGCTCCGGTGGTCCTCCACCCTGTCCAGAAGCTTCTGATGGTACCAGGGTTCCAGAAGCCATGCTCTCGTCACCCCAGGCTGTGTCCCTCCCCCGGGAGACCAAGACGCTGAGGCGCGTACCTCTGACTGTGGACCCTTCTGAGGTCCGGCATCCACCATCCCTCTTAACAGCCGTGCTTCCACCGTAGAAGTCCCAGGCCCGCTCACATCAGACAGTGGTAAGGGGACCAGCCAGCCTCTGGCCCCCAGGAAGTTCATGTTCAGAGGGGTGGTCTCGTCACTAGAACACCTCTCATTTCCCAAACAGCAGTGAGCTCAGTTTAGTGTTTAAAAGTCCTTCCCTGTCATCTAAACAGTGTCACAGCCATCCAGGTATTTTATTCCTACAGAATCTGTCTTCCTGAAGGTCGTATTATCCGAACTGCACGGTCACACTGTTTCGTGTGGTCGGGGACGGTCTTGGGGATGCTGACCTCGCCCCCCTTTCAAGCCTCACTCCCCAGTGAAGCCTCCCACCTCCCTACTCACCTGTTCAGCTAAGGGCTCCCTTTAGAGCATCTTTCCCACCCGTGCCGGCTCCTTGAGGTCAGGTCCTGCCAGGAGGACATGTGACAGATGCCTGCCCCGCCAAAGGGAGGAGAGGACATGGTCATGTTACTAAGCGAGGCTCTTTGGGCGGCTTCCCTCCCCCGCTCCGCCCCTCCCAGGTACATCCCTGCATCACGTAAGATGGGGCCAGACTCGACAGCATCGCCCTGCCCTGCCCTGCCTCGAGATGGCCTTCTTCACTAAAAAGCACATGAAAATAATAGGGACAATTAGGAAAACCCCACGTTCTCCGTAAACTCCACCGTGTGGAACCGAAATGCAGTCAGGATGCGGGAATACCCAGGTTTTCTTACAGGGGAGCTGGTGTTGGGCGTTTTGATTCCAGTGAGCTGGCAGGCCACATCCACTCAAGGCGTGGCATTTACGAAGAAAGAGTCTGGAGGTGGCTTTGTTTTATCTCTTCTGGCAAAGGGACCCTCGTGGGTGGGGGAGCTCGCGCACTGGCCTCAGACCTGCCGAGGGGACTCTTCTCGCCACTCGCCCGGGGGGCCTTCCTTCTGCTGACAGAAGCACCCGCAGCAGCGGGGGCTCTGAGCCCTGATGCCCCAAGGGCCCCTTTCTCCCTTGGGCTTCCCTGGCTTCTGTTCCCCGGTGTGTTCTCAGCTCTCCCCCCTCCTCAGCCTGGGGCCCCACGGTCCTTCCCCGCAGGACAACGGCCACAGGGAGCTGCAGCCCGCATGGAGCGTGGCCCTGAGGTCACCAGCGCCCGGAGGGCAGGGAACGAGTTCCCATCACTTGGAGAACAGGAGGCGCATGGCCACCTGGGCCACCCAAGGCATCCTGCCCGGCGGTGGTGGGTGAAGCGGGCATTGTGGTCAAGCCCAGGAGCGAGCGAGTGGAAGGTCGCCGTCCCCTTCTGTCTGTGCCCGTGAACAGAACCTGCTTTATGGGGTCGGTTGGGCATTTCAGAGGACGGCCTCGGGAGTCTGGGAGGAAGTGGCCCAGCAAAGACAGGCAGTGGGTATGTCCTGTGCGAGATGCAGTCTGCTTTCTGGTGAACAGACCATGTGGCCCTGGGCGAGACCCTCACCCCTGGGCCTCTCTGAATTGAGGACTTGGAACGAGTGGTCTCGGGGACCCTGCCGAACGTTAGAATCCCCTGGAAGCTTTAACCAGCTGATGCCCGGCTCTACCCCCAAGGTCTGTGCCATTGTTCTGGGGTGTGAAAGCTCCCAGGAGACCCAGCCAGGTTGAGGACCCTGGTCCCAGGCCCCCGCGGTTCAGATGCAGCGGTTCTGGGCGGCATCCTGGAGGGGACGGGATTCCATCTGAGCCTTGGAACGTGGAGCAGGCAGGGCAGGACAAGGCATTTGAGGTGAGATCAGAGTGAACTCGTGGGGGTGGGAGGCACTGCCAGAGGTGGGCCCTCATCGCAGGCCCTGGGGGTCCCATGATGCACTCCTCTTCTGCACAGAGGGGCTCGCTGGTGGCCTAGACCCTCCAGGCCGAGAGCTGGTTGTTACACATTCAGCACCTGTGCTGATTTTCTCTCCCACCCTAAATTGCCTTTTCCGAGTGTTGCCCACTGTGACCGATTTGCCAGTTTATCGGAGGAAAAGGCGGTTTAAAAATCCTTAGAAATTGGATGCTGACTTCACGCAGCTCTGCCCACAGGAAGGAGGTGTTGATCCCTGGGGGTCCACGGATGCATCAACCCAACCAGGTTCCCACCATCAAAGACCCACTCGTGGCGGAGGCAGAGCGAGCTGAGATGGGGGCGGTCAGGAGAGGGTGCAGAGGGGGGCTGTCACTTGAGCTAAGTCTTGAGAGAAGCAGTGAGCTCCCCGTCTGGGAGGTAGCCAGGAGGAGGCGAGGCGGACCTCTGACACCTTCCGCCCAGCCCTGCACTTGCCCCGTTCTAATACGTGGCCCGCATCGCCGAGGGCTGCTCTGACGGAGGCTAAGGGTAATGAAAAGCCTCATGTGAGACCCAGCCTTTAAAAAAAATGTTGTTAAAAACAAAAAGCACATCTACCTCTAAGCATCTGAATGGATGTCTCAGGAACAAGGTTACAGGTTTGGGGTTTTTTAATTTTTAACGCATGCGCAATACCGTGTCTGAAAACTCCCACATCCTTAATCCCTCCTGCAGCCGGCAGAGCCCTTGACAGATAAAGCAGCTGCCTTCTTGCCAGACAGATGCACTGGGAACGGCATTAGCCCGGCAGATTTTCCTCTGACTAACTGCATTGCTTTCTAATTTGCTCCCATGTTGGTTGAAAATGACTAAAGCGTTTTGTGCAAAGTCTAGACAGCTTTCGAGTCAACTGGCATTTAAGCAGTCATTGGAAAGCTCTTCTTCTTGTGACCCCAAACTTGGGCCTCTACTGGGTTTGTTATCTTGGTTGATTTGAGCAGTCAGAGCCTTCTGGAAGCCCGGATTCCTCAGGGAGAGGCGCTTTCCCAGGACCGGGCGTGATAGAGTGATTACGCTCGGAGCTTCCCAAGTGCCAAATTAGTGACGTCCCCCCGCCGGACTGGTGGTTCAGTCCAGCCTGCTGTGAGGGCCTGGACGAAAGGAGAGGCCTGACGCACGCGCCCCCTGGGATATCGGGCATTACCCTTCCTGGCGACCTTGATAACGGCCATCCCTGCAGACTGCCCGGTGTTGTGGGCACTTGTCCTCCTGCGGGCCCCGGCGGCTGTGCCCTCTGCCACAGCGTCCTGCTGGAGGGCGGTGCCCCATGCTGCTGGAGGGCCAGCCTTCCCAGATGACCCACACCCGCTTGGCGGGAACAGCAGAGGGTGGCGGTCAGCCACGCCCATGGCGCGGCTGCGGGGTCCCAGGCTGTCGGTCCCCACACCCCTGTGCGTGGTGTCCTTTCTCCAGGCTGGACGCTTCCTCCCCTGGTGGGGAGACAGCCCTGGCCCCTCGTGAAGGGCACCCCGTGGGTTTGGAGGAAGGACGTGACCCTATTTAGTCTGTTCTCTCCCAGTCCTTCCGGCTCCTTCTCTGGGTGCTGAATCACTAAACGCCAAGTCCAGGAGGGGATGCCTACCCGGGAGGGGTCCCCCCCGCTTCAGCACCACTGACAGGTCCGCTGTGTCCGCAGGTCTGGTACATGGACGGCTACCACAACAACCGCTTTGTCCGCGAGTACAGATCGATGCTGGCCTTCATGACCACGGACAATTTCACGTCCCACCGCCTCCCGCACCCCTGGTCCGGCACGGGGCAGGTGGTCTACAACGGCTCCATCTACTTCAACAAGTTCCAGAGTCACATCGTCATCAGGTTCGACCTAAAGACAGAGACGATCCTCAAGACGCGCAGCCTGGACTATGCCGGCTATAACAACATGTACCACTACGCGTGGGGCGGCCACTCGGACATCGACCTCATGGTGGACGAGAACGGGCTGTGGGCTGTCTACGCCACCAACCAGAACGCCGGCAACATCGTCGTCAGCAAGCTGGACCCCGTGTCCCTGCAGGTGCTGCAGACCTGGAACACCAGCTACCCCAAGCGCAGCGCTGGCGAGGCCTTCATCATCTGCGGGACCCTCTACGTCACCAACGGCTACTCGGGGGGCACCAAGGTCCACTATGCCTACCAAACCAACGCCTCTACCTACGAGTACATCGACATCCCCTTCCAGAACAAGTACTCGCACATCTCCATGCTGGATTACAACCCCAAGGACCGCGCCCTGTACGCCTGGAACAACGGCCACCAGATCCTCTACAACGTCACCCTCTTCCACGTCATCCGGTCTGATGAGCTGTAGGTCCCCTCGGCCTGGAAGCCGAGGGTCCGCGTCCTCCACCCACCTGGAAATTCCTGTGGGACGGCTGCCAAGTGAATATCGGTGAGACGAACAAGGCTGATTTGGAAAAAGCAGCAGCAGCGTGGACTCCGGCATCATGGGGTGGCGTTGCCCCCCGCGTTTCTCCAGCTCCAGCCGGAGGGCGGCCAGTGTGGGAAGAAGCCCCCATATACACGGCTGGAACTGCAGCCCAGGGCTCCCTGGTTCCCCCGCCCTGGTCCCCTTTCTGGTCAATATACTCAAGAAGTAAGGCACTGACTGTTGGCCAGTTCTTACTGAGAACAACCCACTGTTAGGATCGCATGGACTTGTCCGTAGATCATGGTCAGCTCGATGGACCTGAGTGTCGTGTCTCATTGAAGCCCCCCTCCCCCGGGCCTGGCTCGGCGGCCGAGGGGGCCACGTAGGCTAGTGTAACTCGCATCTCATCGCCGCTGCCGTCCTTGACCACGTGTTGTGTCTTAGATGCTCTGTGCTGAGACCCCAAGTAGCCCGTGGACCCGAGTTAGTCCCCAAGAGCGGTGGCCGGCGTGTGTGGCGTGGACAGGCTCAGTGCCGCACCGTTTGAATCCGCGTACCCCGTAGATACATCGTGCAATGTCCATCTGTTGTTTCCTCGAGGTGGTGACTTGTCTGTTTAGTGGATGCCATGAATGTCGTAAATGCAATGCCGTAGTTTGGATTAGTAAGTGGATGGTTTTTGTTTCTGAAGAGGAATAAAAAAAAAACACATCAATGTTCGCCCTTATAGAGAGATGATCAAGTTCATGTTGCTAATCATGAAAGGAAATATCCTCTTCTTGTTAAATTATCTAAATAAGTGTAACCACAGATGAGAAGGGCTCATCTAGGGAAACTTCGGTTTCCAACGGGAAAGAAATGCTCTTGAGGGCAACAGTGTGCGGAAAGTACATTTTTTAAGTAAAAAAGAGGGAAACTTTGTACTATCCGGTTATCTAAGGAACAATAAAAATATTAGGAGATGTTTTTGCTTCATTTGTCATTTCAGAAGGTTTTAAAAATGACCGAGACTTCCAGAGCCTTGCAGACGTATTCCAGAGCGAGTGCCCCTCTCAGAAGAGGACAGGGCACGGGCTGGACACAAGCCCCATTGGGTCCCTAGGCACTCATCCCCCGCAAGGGTCGGAGCCCGAGAATCAGCTTGGAGGTCCCTACTCCTTGGGTGAATCTGAATCCGAGGGCTACACCACTGGGAGTCCCACCCTACCCCACCCCGCCAGGCTCCTCCAAGATACAGCTGGAAGGAGCCTGGGACAAGCACCCGCTTCTGACGTGGCAGGGGGCATCCGCAGAGACCCTGCCGAAAAGTGGGCAAAGGTAAACCCAGGCCCTCTCTGGCCAGTCCGCTCACTGGGAGCACTGGGGATCCAGGGGGTGAGTGGCCAGCCCTGTCTGGGGTCTGGGTCCCTGAGCCTTGGAGACAGAGAACCTCATGCATCGGGGGAGCCCAGGCCACCACAGCCAGACCCGCAGATACCAAGCCAGGCTCTGTCTCTAAGTGGGCCCTGAGGTCTCTGCAGGACAGAGCCGTTCTGGAGTGCCCTGGGGGTTCACATGGCCAGAGAAGGCACAGGTCAAAGTAACTCTCCTTTCACAGGACAGTTCAGGACCGGCCTTGGCGCTAGATGCCAAGGCAGGATGTGGCATGTGGTGACCGTCCACTCCCTCCCCTGCCCTTCCCCCTGCTCTGGGGCGGCGGGCCTCCTTGGCAGGGTGGACAGCAGGGCTGTGATGTGGGCCTGGGGAGAAGCCAGCAGCCCCCGTGAGCTCAGCCCAGCTGGCACCGCACCCAAACCAGAGAGCAGAGGGGCTGATGTGTTTCCAAAACAGCCTTCTTCAGTTGCCATCACTTGTCCTGGAAAGAACCTGGGTGGGTCCCCAGGCAGGGGTGTAGGTGGCACTTAGAGGGGGTGTAGCTGGCGTTCATGGCGCTGGTACTCTCGGAGTCAGTCTGAGAACATCTGAGAACATCTAAGAACATCTGACTCTGTCCCCGGGGCCCCTCGGAGGCTGGAGCCACTGAGACAGCAAGCTGGTCCGGCAAGGAGGCAGCGGGGGCACGGGGACCGTGTCTGCTAGTCACAGTGGGTGCCCTTGGGATCCGGCCAATTGCTGGGAAGATATGGGATGAGAAGTAGGGTGGAGGCCCCGCTTGTCCTCTCCAACCCCTCCGGTGGAGTAACACACGGAAGCAGAAAAGAATGACCACTGGCCGGGGCTTGCCCACTGTTGGGAGCCCTGGATCGCAGTCAGCTCGCCCATGAGAAATCGGGTGGGCCCTGGACCACTGGGTGGGGAGGGAGGGAGATGCCAGAGGACCCTGGAAAAATGCTGGGGGTGTGGGCCAGCAGGGCAGCCTGGGGGAGGGGCGGTGGCCTTGCACAGTCAAGGGCCACTCCTGGGACCCTTCCCCACCCCCCTCCCCCGCACCGGGGGCCACGTCTCTACTGCACGCTGGGGGCCACCTAGACACTGCACTGTGAGGGGACAGTGCCGCCTCGGGCCTGGCCCAGGCCACCTCTGACCCCAGCGCCCCTCAGCCTCTCCCCTCTGCCCACACGCTGCAGTGGGGCTCACGGAGCAGGTCTCCACCTCCGGGCACAAGGCACTCCAGAGCCCCTTGGCCCCTTTACCTGTGCTCTCCCCACGTCCTTCCTCCCCTCCCAGCTCAGAGCTCCCGCCTTCTGTAAGCTCCCCGTTCCCCATCTCCAAGGAGGAATCACTGCTTCTTTCCTGTTCCTTTAAATCCTTCCTCCATCACCCATGCTCTGGACTGCCCCATCTTCCCAGCATCCGCGATTCTCTTAGACCCAACACATTCTTTAAGATTTGGGGTTTTTTTTTTAATTCACCAAGCCCAAGACAAAAATAATCCAAAAAAATCATTTCTTGCTTTCTTGTTGCTGCTGGGTTTCCTTCGCCAGATACCCTGAACTGTGACGAGGAAGCGGGGTGGGAGATGGTAGGAAACGCCTGACCCCAGTTAGAGCCTCATTAGCTGCAAGTCCTCCCCGAACGAGAGGACTCGCACAGGCCGCTGCCACAGCCACGGCAGGACAGGCTGCAATTAAAACTTTTAGAAGTGGGAGGCATTTTCCTACTTTCACGTTTGCAAATTACCTTGGAGGGAGCCGGCACACGCAAAATCGTCCCCGGGAGAGACAGGAGCTGGTTCTTCATAGAACAGCCCCAGCTTCAGTAAGACAGTCTAAGACGCCACCGACTTCATTCCCGGTGTGAAGCCATGATGGGAGTCTGTCCAGGCAGGATCAGGCAGGGATCGTTAAGTAATTACAGCTGCAATTATGGGCCGAACTCTTCATAATTTCCCCTTAACGGCCTAGGAGACAGTGAATGTACAAATACCTGCTCTGAGTCACCAGAAGACAAAATAACGAACAACCTGATAGGTTCAGAATGGATTTGCCGTCTCCGACTGAGTATTTGCTGGGGAAAATAATCCTCCAGGATATTAAATACGCAAGAAAAATGGTTCCATCCAGAGAGCAAATAAAACAACTGGCTTGCCACTGAATCTCCCAGATTCCAATAACTGAATATATTGGCTGATGGCAGAACATCTGTAGATGAATTTTCTTTATTAAAAGTTTGGCCTGGAATCAAAACCCAGCAGTTCTTTGGTGGGTACCGGAGGCCAGAGCATGAGATGCCCAGTCCTGGGTGCAGCTGGGTAGGCCTGGAACTTTTTCTAGTTTCCGCAGGTTTCTTCTTGAAGGAGGCCTGTGATGGGTGACCCCACACAGCTGCCCATGGAATTCACCTCTAGCTCCTGGAGTCGCGATGCCCTTGTCGTTTAGGGAAGGCGTGCAGTGAGGGTGGCCGAGCTCTCGCAAGTGACCGGGAAGGAGGCATCTCTTGGGTTCTTGGGAAGTGCAGGGTCTCCAGACAGGGGCCAGGCTCCACCCGTGAGAAGGGAAAGGAAGGCGATGGTGATTTCAGGTAGCTGAACGGGCCAGGGTAGGGGGTAGAACATTGTCTTTAATCGGAACACTTAACGTAATCCCACTGGCAGATTATAGGTGGTAAATGTCGGGCACAGTCACCGCTTAGCAGCCGATGTTGACACCTGCTTCCCCCACATCCCTTTGACCTCACGCCACCTGTAGAAGAGGCACCAGGCTCCCCGTCCTCAGATGGAAACTGTCTCAGTACATCTGAGCTTCCAACCCACGAAAGAGCGTCCACGTCCACAGGACAGCCCAGGCCAACACGGGGACACGTCGGAAACCTTCAGGCCGTTGAGGGTCCCTGGGGAAGGAAGCAGCTGGGCCGGGACTGTGGGTGGCAGGTACTTCCTCGGGGCACACAGGGAAATGAATCCCCAGAGGCAGCTCCTAGAAGCTGGAGCAGGCATTTGGGAGGGAGGGGGACTTGGGTCCAATCCTTGTCCAGACACCTGTGTAGGCGTGGCCCAGGAAGACGGGACACATTTCACTGAAAGGAGCATGATCCGGGGACTGCTGGTCCGTGAAGAGTGAGGCTGAGTCCCCAGGGCTCAGGAGCTCGAAGCCGGACCAACCATCTGATGCCCTGCGTCATCAGGCCCAGGCAGAGCAGAGCCTTCTAGGTGTGGAGGGGCTGGTCTGCTCACCATCAGGTAAGACATCCCTTGCTTGGTGGCCCATATCTTCGGTATTGAGAGGCAGCTCTCATGAGAACCGTCTGCATTTGATTTCCTTTGGGTGAATGGTTTCTGAAAAGGTTTCCTGGAGCAGGATTTTGCCTTAATAAATCTATTGTTAGAGATTATTTTCACAGGCTATAAAATGAGATATAGAGTCCTTTGAACCCAATAGCAAAGAGAGGCATCAATTTGTGCCTAAACACTGCTTGTAAATTACGCCGCATCTTGCTGTTGTCACATAATTTTCCCTGAAGGTGACATTAGGGACATGGAACTCATCCTTTTCATTGATGTGTGTATCCCATTGTGTAGATGTGGCATGGTGTGTGTCACCAGCACCCCCACGGTGGGTATTTGGGTTGTTTCTAATAGTCTGCTCTTAAAAACCATTCCGCAGTGAATAACCTCGTGTAAAGTCACATCACGTACTGCACACGGTATGTGTCTTCGGAATAAACGGTCTGAGGGTAAACGCTTCTGTTCTTCTGCCCAGTATTGTTGAATTCCCTTCCACAGGGGTTGCGCCACTTTACCTTCCTTCTAGCAGTGTACGGGAGTGCAGATTTCCCCATGGAGTGCTTGGGAAATCTTCGGGAGTTTTGCAGTCTGGGAGGTAAGACGTGGTACCTCCCAGCACTTTGAATTTTCACTTCTCTTATGAAGAGTTAGGAAAGCATCTCTTGTATGTTGCAAAGCCATTGACAAGATTTATCTGGGAACTCTCAGTTCCTACCTTTTGCCCATTTTTCCCTACTCGGCTGCCGAGAATTTTCTCCCATATAAATGTTAGGAGTTCTTTGTATAGGTGGGAAGTCAGCTTTTGTGTTTCTGGGAGTTGCAAATATCCTGTGGTTTGTCGATCTTGATTCTGGTTATGGTGGGTTTTTTAAAATGTAGTCAGGATTATCAATCATCCTTCTAATGTTTTGGCTCTCGAGACCCAGTAAGGGCCGTCATGATGAACGGACTCATTTTTCTCTGGTGCTGACGTGGGCTTGCTTCTTACGTTAAGACTGGCAGTGCCTTTGGGGTTTATGGAAAGTGACATGTGGGTCCACTTTGACCTTTTTCCAAAAGGCTGCCCAGCTGTCCCAACATGAATTATTACGTGGCCCAGCTCCCCACCCCGAATCCTAGGCTGAGGGTCCCACGTACTTAGGCTCCATTTCCGGGCTCTTCTCTTTCTGAGTCTGTGTTTGATGCTGTCACTGGAAATTCTACCATTTCCATAAATTTCCATAAATTTGCCTAGAGGTGAATATTCATGGCCTCCCTGACAGGCACTTACTCCACTGTTTTTTTTTTAAGATTTATT